TGTTGTATCACACTGCATTAGTTTTAACTACGTGTAGCATCTAAGTGTGAGTGCTTTTATGATAAGTGGGCTTATCAGGGCAATTCCAATAGTATTATTATGCTCATTGTCACCTTGAATCGTCATATTTAAATCAACAAGGGCTCTTAGTGGGACACATCACCACTCAGTATTTCAGAACATTTGTCAACCACCTCTATGTGCTCTAGTGGACTTTCTGCGTATCGGGTTGGGGGAAGATGTGACAGTTGCACCTTCTCCATTAGCTCTGGGTCTCATTCCAGCCTGTCAGTCCCTCCTGCAGAGCAAAGACACTCATTTGTCTGTTGTAAAACCAGTGAAAGCAAACCCACTGACTCCAGCTTCAATTGACCTATATGTTTGTATCTGGTCTGCCTCATTCTGTCCAGCCACTGACTGAATATGTGTATAGTGTGTGTTATATGCTACTGAAGTGAACTAGCTTTATAGACAAGGTCAGGCGGTGGTTCTAGAGATGGCGATCTGTCAGTCCACCACTTTGGTGCTGACTGAATTATCTCAACTCTTACATAGATTGGCCTGATTTTTTACTGACTTAAGCAATCCTTTGACTTTTCCTGTAGTGCCACCTTGAGATTGACATTTGTGGTTTTGAATTAAATGTCTTAACAACTGTTGTGTGGATTGCCATAAAATTTCAGGATCAGGATAATTGGAGTGATCCCGACTTTTAATGTGGCACTCTTATCAGGTCAAAGTTTCAGTTTGTCTAATATTTTGGTTTATGACTAAATGCCATCAAACTAAGTCAGCTACACTTTGTCTTTAGTGCTAACTAGCAAATGTTAGCATGCTACCAAGCTAAATTAAGATTAATGCAAACATGATAATTATTCCTGCTAAACTTTAGTAACATCGTCAAATGTTAGCATGCTGACATTAGCATTTAGCCTCACATAGCTGCTAGCATGGCTGTAGACGCTTATAGTCTTGTTGTTCAACTTGCTTTATTCCTCTGTGCTAAAAGTGTGTGTGTGTGTGTGTGTGCGTATGTATTCGTGTGAGGTGAACATGTTTGCGCGGGCCACAGGCCAGACAGCGGGTCATGTAGTCTCTCCCAGCTGACCGCTCAACTGAAACCAAATTGAAATTGGTCATTCGTCACACGATAAATAGACCACTATAGTCACCTCTGCCGGGCAACACCAGCTAATCCCACGAGAGCACCCCGCTCTTGTTTTGAAAGGCGAGCCTCATGGGTCGCCTTTCAAAGCGGAGATATTTGGGCACCATTCTATTTTAATGGAGAGGTCTGAAATTCTCAAGAACCCTTTAGGGTCCTCCTGGCTGTCCTTGATGGTCCCACCTCTCGTACTGCTACACTCATCAGCCGGCATTTGAGATGGCCATTTCAATGGACGGACGCAGGCACACTGACAGTTCGGACATGTGGACGAAGATAGAGCGAGGAGGATCGTGACACTAGCTAGAGTCCCAAGAGATGGAACGTTTTGTACTTTGCAGATAAAGTGGGTGAAAATGGACGTGTAGAGTGGTGGGATTTAAAAGTACACCTATGGTCTAACAGGGTTGACCCCTAAAATCATAATTTAGGCCGTCAACGCTCACAGTAGATGAACAAAAGTTTAGAAAATTCATGTTGTGAATGTTTTTGATAAAGGTGTTCCAGAAGAATAGGCACAGCAACTATTGTAGCTATGAGAATTTGACAGAAGGCTAACCATCTTTGATCTTTAATATCTTTAAAATCTTATTTACTTGTGTCTGACGTACTACACTAAATTGTTCTTCAGTTTTGTCCTCTGAAAGAATATTCAACACCAAAAGATCATAACTGCTAAACAGGTGTCCATCTTCCCAGCTTGTTCGTGAAACTATGCCACTCACATGTCCGGTGCAGGTGGATGCCAATGAGGGACTGATATCCTTTTAAAGTAGAAGAAAAATGCAAACACTGTTGAACTTGAAAGTACACTAAAACGCATTTTGTTTAAGACATGCAAACGTCTCTGGGCTGTTAAACTTTAACAAGAGAAAATGTTATATATGATGCAAAGAGGAGGACTGGAGAACCCTGTAAAACAGCTCAGTTTCGGGTCGTCTGGTCAACTTTATGTTTATCCTCTAGAAACAGGGTGGTCCTGTCACTCTTCTACTCACATTTTTGTGAGACACACACACATACAAGTGGCAGTTAACCATCTATTTTGAGTTTGTCGCAGCAGCAACTGACAGATGCTGAGGATTTCAGTGTAGACCCTCCGAGCCCAGCTCCGATGAATGAAAGGCTCGTCAGGACAGAGATGCAACCCAGGGGGCAGAGGGCACAGGACAGGGGACAGGTGGATGTGGGTGAGAAGAAGCAGGAAGGAGTGTGAGATTCACACGTGCTTCAGACATCCAAGGAGACATTATGTCAGCCACCAGGGGCTTTTTCAGACCGATGTAATGGTCATAATCACGCATGTATAGAAGATATATCGAGAGTGTCTACATGGATGTAGGCTTTGAAGTCTGCCTAGCAACTAGTGTAGCCAGTCTCTGTCAGTGAACTTAGTTAAAAAAAAGCCCAATTATGGCCAATTTGTTTCATATCCAATATCTTACACCAGAAAAAATGATATAGTTAATAATAGTTGGTCTTCCATGTAATTTAATAACAATAACTACCTGAAGGCCTTTGTGATGTTATGTTAAAAGTTAAGATAAAAGTTAACTATAAATAAAAGATAAATGTTACATTATTTTATTAAAAATTAGTGATTAAGGAATCTTAATTAAATAGCTGTTTCCGTCGTCGGCAGCAGCATGAACTTCGGCTTCAAGCCACTCAGATTGTTGTATCATATTTGTGGACCTTTTTAAAGATTTCGAAAGATTCATATATTAAGTTTCTTCAAATTATCAAGTTATACACAGAGGAGAGTTGCTGAAGGGTGGATGGACAACGCTCAAAGAGATTTTTAATGGATTAACAATCAGACCTACTCGACCCACCACCATCCCACCTGCCTACACTGACTGTCTCGACCATCTTCTTAGAGAAAGACATAAGTTACCAATATATATGGAGTAACTGACTCAAAATCTGAATCTTGGAGGGAGACAGAAATTAAGGCAAAGAAGATATTATCTGACCATTTCAAAACAGACTCCAAGCTTATAGATCGATTAATCAAACTGGAAAATATGACCATGCTGGCCATCCTAGGTCCATTGTGGTTAAACTGCTTCGATGCAAACATAAGCAAGACATTTTAAAGGGAGCAAAATCCATTTCCATTCAATTGGAGGTTAGATTTAAATGTATAAGGAGTATGATACAGACCTGCTTGAAAAGTGTCCTGAGATATCTTATGTTGCGATTTGGCATTTGCCTGTGCAGCTCTACCTCAGGAGGAGAGTCGACCCTACCGACACAAGGCGAGCACCATTGATTATTATTGAAACATGAGCCATCAATAATGAGATTGCTTTTGATTAACTGCTTCCGTGTGTTTGTTTCCCCAGTGGATGGTACGATCTGGATTTGATTGTCATTTCAGTCATCCTATTGTCATAGTTTGAGTTGTGGCTTATTTGCAAATAAATCCCACTCCTCATAAATGACTGGAGAAACCATTTCAGTCCATACAAATTAATCAATACAATACAAAATAAATATAATAAATAATAAATAAATCAATACAAAATAACATCAGATTGGGTTCTAGTGATAATTCAGTTTTTCTGAAAGAAAAGCAAACAAGTTACCAGTGATAATGTGATGGAAATTAATTAATGGAATCAAAAAAAAGTTTGACCTTGGAAACAGCAGCTGACTTACTTATTAAGATTTACTTTGTGAATTATTTAATTTAGTTCCAAAAGGTGGTTTTCCTTTTAACTTCAAACTGTTTAGTTTCAACAATTACATTAATAGGAAGAGAACAGATGCTGCTCATACCCAGATGTCATAGATAAGGCTCTACAGCATGTGTATACGTGTGTTAGTGCAGTTTTACTCTACATTAGGCAAATAAAAAAAAAGCATATTACAAAGGTTATATGCTTATTACAAAAGCATATTACAAAAGTTGTGTAATCCAGTCCTAGAAGTCTTCCATGCTACGACGCAAAACTATTTTTTGATGGGTGTTGCCTCCTCCAGGGTCGGAGTGGGTGTGATAAGTTGGTTTGCTGACGTCAGGGGAGCCATGGCTACAGTTCAGCTGTCTGCTCTTGTGTTTCCTTTCTGTCTGTCTCTGCTCTCATGAATAGCCTGTCCTGTGGAGAACATGCTGTGCCATCCACTGTGCCTGCGGATCTCCTGTTGAACAGTTAGTCCATGCAAGCAGCAGCTTGCCAAGAGTTAGCTGGGGGCCTGAGGCCTGAGGACAGTGGAGTGATGGCCAACAAGACGCCTTGTTAAAATACCCTCATGCGGCCCAAGTAGGTGCCAACCTGTGAGATGGCTCTCATTGACACACAGACAGAAAGAAAAGAAGAGAAAGGAGGAAAGGAGAGACTGTGCAGAGAAGTAGATAGGGGGAAGATAGTGTCTTGTAACCAATAAGGGTAGGAATAAAAAGGGAAAAAATCATTATTTGACTGAAAATACTGTAGGAAATTGACTAATGGATAGAGGTGATAACAGGACAAAGCCATATATTTAAGGGATAAAACTAAATCCCCAGTTTGTCTACATTTGTTCGGTATTATATGTTTGATGTTTCATTGGGAGGCAGAAATAGCAATGGCCAAGATGAAAGAAAGAGACCTAGGAAGACAGAGAGAAGAACCAATGTCCCCCTCCCGCTCTTTATTAATACCCCCAAAGACAGCAGGCTAAGATTTCTGGCACCAAAACACACGTCACGCTTGCTATTTCCGTCTGAGGTGCCACATAGCACCGAGAGGTTGGGTGACAGGACTGAGGCATCATGGGGCCAAGGGACTTCCGTACACCCACCCAGCCTTTACATGACATTTCAGACTTTGGCCACCCCTGCCAGAAGAGTGTGTGTGCATGAATGTGGCAGAGCATGTGCTCATGTGTACAGAAGATGTTTGTTTGGTGAAAAAAGATGCAAGATATGTACGCTTGTATATTTGAAATTGTGTGGTCTGTGTGTGCGTATGTGTGAAACTGAGAATGTGAGTTTCCTCACCTTCCACAGAGACGGAGGTGTTGGGCAAACCAGAGGTTGTTGATGCAGTCTTATGAGGCGAGAAACACAGAGCATGAAAGGTGATCCCTAATGCTACAGAATCACTCTGTCTGTGCTGCACACTGGATATCCTGGTAACGATGGATAACATAACTGCTCACACTGTGCAGTACTAACATGCCTCACCTTATATTCAGTAAGATAAATGTTGTTTTAAAAAATAATCTACATAATCCAAGCAATGTGCCATATATGAGCCTCAGAAATCTCTGTGTTTAGAAGACAATCATATTTTATCATGCAGCTCGTCAGGTATGTTTGAACCAGTTGATGTGTTCAAGTTGGTGGACAGTTAGCTCATTTGCAGCCGCAACTTGAGCTGCCACTGCACTGGCATGCAGGGAGCTGCTGGATAGATATCCATAGGCTTGACATGCAGTAAATCATCAACAGCCTGAGATATGAGCCACCATTAATGGAACAATAGAATGCAATGCTGCAATAGACAAAGACAGAGAGTCTTTACGTCAAAGCACTGTCATATTTATTACCAAGAAAAAAATACATTAAAGGCATATCATAGTCATTTGTCACAGCTGTTATTTCATTTGAACATCTTAAATATATTACTTTGACAATATGATACAGTAAAACACACTATTGTTGACAGTTAGCAGATTGCTGCTGGGAGCACAGTTGCAACTTAATCTACTCCGACTGGTTGCCAGGTTGAATTTGATTCAACCTGGCAACCATGAGGATTTAACACATGGGCATGCACCCTCAAACTAGGGCTACATGCAAAATCTCATTATACAGAAAACACCTGAAATTCAATACAAAAAAGAGGAGAGTGGTTAAGAGGGAGCTGCACCAAAGCAATATGTTGTGTTGGCAAAGGTTCGGCACAGAAGAAGCAAAAAGCCACAGCAACACTGGAGAATGTTGTGGATGTGTTTTATCTTGAACATGGCACTGAGATGATACTAAGCATTTACTTGCAAGAGAAAAGTCCTTACTATTTACACCGGGAGAAAGTTATCCTGGAGGAAGGGAACAAGCTTTATTGAAATGGAAAGGTATCACATAATGACAGTCTCAGTCTGAAGGGAGTAGGACATGAGAGGCCGGTGCTTCAGGGCGGGACTTGAGGTTCTGGTCATGGGGCTAGGGGGGCGAGTAAGGGGGCTTGGGGGACGGTACATTGGGCCTGATGGGGCAGTGATCCTGGCAGTAGGGGTGCGGCCTGCCCATCTGGAAGGAGGTCTCTGGTTGGCTGGCCGTGCAGGACGAGAGAAGCTCTTCTTAAGGTTGTCCGGGGACAACTCGGCTGGGTTTACCTGAGCAGGGACATAACAGGACACATGTCAGCTTGTACAGTATCAGCAATATCGGTTTGGTTTGTACAACTGATGCCAATGCTGAACTTAATCAAATAAGGAAGCAGCAAAAAAACGTACCTGCTGTGGTTCCTGTCTGTAAGATGTGTGTCCTGTTCTGGGACTGGAGCTGTACTCATGTTGGATCTCCAGCATGTCCAGCAGCTCAATAAGTCCTTCATCCCTCACTCGGCCACAACCTGGCAACTCCTGTCCCACCAACCCTCCCCTCTGGATCTTCTGCGCTCCAGAAGAAGCACTTGAGACCCTGTAGTCCATTTTGGGCTCCACATGTTGAGGTGCAGGCTTCCTTGCCCTCTCCCCTTGAGCCAGTCCTCCATCTCTGTCAGCCCCACTGTTAGCCCTGGGTCTAATCTTTGGGCTCCCTGCCACCTGTGATCTCCTCTGGGGCTGCTGAGGACTCCACTGGGACCCTTTAGAACCGCTGTAGCCTCCTTTGTGATCCTTGTGGTTCTGTCTACCAGAGTCTGATACTAACCCCCATTCTTGGCTGGACTCTATCTCTGCTGTCAGCACGTCGGAATCTGCTTGGCATTTCTGGGTTGGCAAGCGCATGGGCGCCCTGCCGCCGACTGCAGTGGCTCCCAGAGCTCTGCGCTGACAGCCAGGGGTGGGGCACTTTGGCTCCGGGGCCAGCCCCTGATGGGTCACCACCCCTGATTCGGTGAGCATTTTACCCTCGTTTTCCTGAAGCATGGCTCCAAATTTCCTGAGAACAGAGGGGCTGCTGCACTTCCTATCTCCGGGGCCGAAGGACTTCCTGTCCAGAGCAGGAGATTCAGCTGTTGCGATTGGGAGCTGTGAGCGTGGTTGTGCAGCGGGCGCATCCCTTTGTCCAAGAGGGGGCTTGGAGCCTGTGTTTTCTTTGTTGGGGGAGCTCTCTCTGCGAGGGGAGCTCTTCCTGTGAGACACTTGGTTCTTCCTGTTTTCAGTCTCCTCAAAACTGGCCAAAAACTGCTCTTGACCGAGCCTGAAAACAGAATGAATAAAATTAGCAATTTCCCTCACATCACGTCATTGTACAAAATGTCCATGAATTAAATGTGAATTCTCTTACCTTTCGTTTCCAGAACTTCTTTTGATCTCATCCTGATATGCAGGGATGTCCGCGCTCACCTTGATTGTGTCACTGAAGCGCTGGGAGAGATGAGAAAACTATATTTAAATAACATCCATGTCAACCTCCATCCACGGTATTTAAAAGCTTTAAATTAGAGTGCGCTACTTCAGGATCACTGGCAAGCTTTGGTTTACTGTACCCTACCAAAACTGAACCTCAGCTGACCCTTGATCATCCCTCAATATAGAACTCCTCTATAACTATTCTGATGTACTGTGCTAGTGCATATGGCTTCTTCATGTGGACCAGGAAGAAGTTTAACGTCTTGGCTTTCTTCTTGACTGCTTTGTCAGGAAAGTTCTAGAGATCTGAAAGGCCGCAGTGAGAGAATGTAAAACTAACTCCGATCTGGCCTAGCCTGTGTGTGTAAGCAGACTTGAAGGAACCAGCTAACTGTAATCAATATGTTCCTGACCGAACCCCAGCTTTGACTCATATCATGCCCACCTATCTGATTTCCTCATATGTGCAGATGCCAACAGAATGAGGCATAAGGCAGGGAAATGATAAGAACGGCCTTTACTTACCACGTGGCGAGCTCCATTGTTCTTCCGACTCATTTGCTTCCCCTGCACCAAATAATCCTGCAATAAGTCTCCGATCTCTGCAACTCCATTGGCGTGGCAGTAACCGTAGCCATTTTGATGACTCACTGGGTAGCTGTACCCATTGGGGCTATAGTTACAGTCGTTACTATAGTGATGTGGCGCAGTTATAGCTCCAGAGTGGTTCTTGCTGTGATGGCCGGACGCAAAAAGACCATTGCCACGGTGTCCTAGGCCACACTCCAACTCGCCGCCATTTTTCTGGCTGTCAGTGGTGATATCGTTGGCTCCTCTGCGGGCCTGAACTTCATTGTATAACTGAAAAATGAAAGCAGAAGAAAACATTAACAACTTCCTGCTGATCTCTTGGTAAGTAGGTGTAGTCTTAAAATATTTGAACCTAATTAGCCAAAATGCACATATTGTACACAACCAAATGCAAAACACAGCTCAACAACAACAACTGTGTTTATACAACACAACAAGGCTTAAAATTGTCACAAAATCATTGCACAACCTAACCTATATTTATGATCAGCACATGTTATTCCAACAAGCATCCGTTTCCCATTGCAAAGTATCCACTTTCCAACTGTGTGTGTGTGTGTGAGAG